GAGGCTGAGGCAGAAGGATCGCTTGAGCCCAGGAGTTTGAGGTTGCTGTGAGCTAGGATGACGCCACGGCACTCTAGCCAGGGCAACAGAATGAGACTCTGTCTCAAAAAAAAAAAAAAAAGAAGAAACCCTAGGTTTGTGACTCAGATCTTCCTCCTGGCAGTTGTATTATTTTGAACAAGGTATTTAACCTTTCTGTTTTTCATTTTCCCTATTTATAAAATGAGGATTATACCTACTTCACAAGGTTTTTGTGAGGATTTAAAAAGGCAATACATATGATGTGTTTAGAACAGTGCCAGGTACATTCTAAATTCTATATTTTTACATAATTAATAGGTCATAACGATTTTTGGGATCGTTATCTCATGTTTATTTGTGCTTGGCTTTATTTTCTAACTCTACAGTGATTGTTTCTTTTTTAAAAGATAACTTTATTTTGAAATGGTTTGGTTCACAAGAAGTTGCAAAAAATAGTACAGAGGGTTTCCATGTACCCTTCACCCAGTTTCTCGTGATGTTATTCTATTTTAGTTCCCTGCATGGTCAAAATAACTATAAGTTTGTTTTAGGGGAATAATTGGCAAAAGATAATTGTGAGACTCTCTCTCCTTGCCAGGCCCCACGTTAATTAATAGGCTTTTTCTCTAAGGCAATAAGTGTTAGCTATCATCATTACTCCAGGGCCAGCCTTTTTTCTAAAATTCTTTCTTTCCTTTCTTTCCCAGCTCCCTTGTATTAAATCCTGCTTTCAAGAAAGTTGTCTTGTTAAATAGCTTTTTAGGAATGTTTGTCAGTTGTTGACTACAGCACAAATAATTTATAATAAGAGCCCTGGAATATTGTTTACTGTAAAACAATATTCATTAAGTAAATTAGTACTTTTACACAAAAACTTAGCCAATAGCCTGCAAGCTTTTTATTCACTTGCTGCCATTACCCTGACTTAATTATTAATGACATGTAGAAAGATTTCTGAAAACCGTCTTTGTTTTTCCCAAATGTGACTTTGTTGGAATCTTCTGGAAAGCCTGAAATTAATAACAGAACTTTTATGTTTTCAAAAATTATTTATTCCTTACTATCACTCTACAGTTCAGAATAAACATTTCTGGGAATGGGGCCTAGAAATTTATTTTTAACCAACTCTAAGATAATTCTTAGGCAGCCTTTAGTGTAGCGATCCTGTCATAACACTATTTAAAAACCTGGATAATGTTACTTGTTAATGCCATTAAAAACAGAAAGTAAGGATATCCCTGAATTATTTTATTAGGATGAATGGGACAAAGTTTGCATATGTTTAAGAAAGTACCAGTGTCTTAGGCTTATTAAGAATGGTAAATTACATAAAAATATATGAATTATAAATATAACAGTCATGTGTTTCTCATGGTCTGTGGAACACATGTGAGAACCACTTGATTATGTAGTATAATAGTTTAGATATTCCTGAAACCAGTTTTAGTAAAACTGACACTTATGAAATTCTTATTTTGGGGCTTGTTTTGCCTAGTATAGCACTTGGCAAATAGTAGGTTCTCAATTATATGATGCTTAACATTTAATATTTAGGTACATTAGGTGATTTGTACAGGGAATTGACTCTGAGTAATGCCTTTATTTCTGTTTAAATTATTTGAAAAAATTAAATGTTTAATTATGAAAATATTTTGTTACTAATTTGTCTTGTGACAGTACTGTTCTTTAGATATTATATCTTTAAAGTGAATTATTTAGATGCTATTCACATGTTAAATTTTTATTCAAGAGTCTAATAATGACCATGAAGATAATCAAACAAGGAGCAGAGGGTTTTCCAAGAGAGGCGGTAAGGACCACATTTTGGAACAATTTGTACTTAAGACAAAAATTGGTAACTGACAAAACTGATTTTGGAAGAGTTGAAAGAAAGAAAAATTCTGGTGCTGAAAACCTTTGAAGAAAAATACTTTGGCATTTGTTTTCTGCTTTTAATACTTGGATGAATATTCAGTAGGTGTTCCTCCTTTCACTTTCTCATGTCACTGGATCTTTTTTTTTTCCCTAAGATCTCCAGAATGTGCTATAAATTACAGAAGAGGGACAATGTGAATCTTGGTCAGTCACAGTTTAGATGAACTGGAATGTCTTTGTCTCTGAATAAAATTATTGGAAATTTGGGACAGGGAAGAAATTGTAGATCATTTTTTGTTCAGGTCTAACAGTATTCCACCATGCTTTGGTAATTGTGCCTCTGATGAATTTGAGGTGAGAAGATATAAAAAATTCTCATGCTTAGTTCTTGATTATATGTGGGTGGTCATGTTAAAACAGCAACAAAAATAAGAGAGTGTACCTACTATAAAATTGCTATAAATGTGAAAATCTATGATAAAAGGGTTTATTGTTTAGAACTACGTGGTAATCACATATATCAGTGTTTTTGCTGCAACTTGAGGACATGCTTTTCCTTTGTCTTTGAGGTGATTAGATGTCTGAATCAGGCCTTCCCTAGTAAAGCTCTGGGACTTGAGGATTTCAGTATGAGGGAAGATATTTTTGTCTCCTAAATTGAGTCTTATGGTAATTGTAGGGAGAAAATTTAGCTGAGAAAAAATGACTCATCTTTTAAAGCATTGCTTTTTTTTTTTTTTAAACAAGCAATTTTTGATACTTAGTGTTCCTAAAACATTGCTTATATTTAAACATGTTTGATTTTCTGCAGAACAGTGAATATCTTCCTATTACATTTACTTTAAATCAATTTAATTCATATTTAAGCGAGGCAGTCAAAAGCCATTTGCAGCTCTATGTGCTTGATCCTGGCTTCCAGACTACTGCAGGGTGACTAGCCAGGAACACAGCCATTTTTCAGGGTGTCTCTGATACCCATTCTCTGTAGACATATACATTTGGGGGTAGGAAGCTTGCACGTAGTGGTCATTTAGTAAATATGTGTGTGTATATGGTTTATATTGAAATACAACATGATATAGACAGGTTCACATACCATAAGTGTTTTATCAAACTGAACACAGCTGGGTTCATTGTGTTCACCAGCATCCAGGTCAAGAAATGGAAATTACTAGCGCCTCAGAAGCCCCCTTTCATGTTCATTTTTTACTCATTAATGACTCCTTACCTCCAAGGTTAACCTCTATTATAACTACTAAAAGCATGGATTCATTTTGTCTGTTTTTGTATTTAATATAAATGGAATCATATAGTATGTACTGTTTGTGTCTGGCTTCTGCTTAATTTGTGAGATTTATTCATATTATAATACTATTAATAAATGTGGTTGTAGATCATTGTCATTGCTCTGTGGTAGTCTTTTGTTCTACTGTTTTTCTAATGGTGACTATTAGGGTTACTTTCAGTTTTGGGCTATTCATCCCAAAGTGCTAGGATTACAGACATGAGTCACCTCGCCCAGCCAATTTTGGACTGTTTTGAAAGTGAATCTGTGTGAACATTCTAGTATTCTTTTGGTCACACTGATACATACTCAGAAGTAGCATTGCTAGGTCATTGGCTTTGTATATCTTTTGCTTGAATAGCTACTGTCAGATGTTTTATGTAGGATATACTCCCACATCCACCCCAATACTTGATATTTTTCCTTTTCTTTCCTATCAACCATTCTTCTGGATGTGTGGTGGTGTATCCTATTATGGTTTTAATTTGTGTTTCTTTGGACTAATGAGATGTGGAGCACTCCATATGTTTATTGGCCATTTGGACATCTTTTGTCAAGTCTTTTGCCAATTTTTCTATTGGGTATCCTTATTTTACCTTTTTATTTGTAAATGATTTAAAACTTACAGAAAAGTTGCCAGAGTAGTACAGATGATTCCTGTATGACGTTTATATTAGAGATCTTTGGTGAATAAAAGTTACTCATTTTAATCAAGAACAACTTACTCATCTTTTATGGTTAGTGCTTTTTTGGGGCGGGGGCGCGGTTTCCTGTTCGAGAGCTCTTTGCTCCCTCTAAGGTCATAAAGATATTCTTATATTTTCCTTTCAGAGCTTTATCTTTTTGGCTCCCACATTTAGATTGTAATTCATCTGGAACTTAATTTTACTTTAGTTTTTGAGACTGGGTCTTGCTTTCTTACCCAGGCTAGAGTGCAGTGGTATCATCATAGCTCACTGCAGCCTCAAACTCCTGGGCTCAAGCGATCCTTTTATTATTAAATAATAATAAAAAGACTGTGTTGGACAGATAGAAATGTACATTGTCTCTGTACTCACAGTCCCTGCATTCCTAAGCAAAAAGAAAATGCTGTTCAGCAGGACTTGTGGCATTATTGATTAATTTTATTTCATTTTTTTTTTTCCTTTGAGACAGAGTCTCACTCTGTTGCCCTGCATAGAGTGCCATGGCATCAGCCTAGCTCACAGCAGCCTCAAACTCCTGGGCTCAAGTGATCCTCCTGCCTCAGCCTCCCAAGTAGCTGGGACTACAGGCATACGCCACCACGCCCAGCTAATGTTTCCATTTTTAGTAGAGGTGGGGTCTTACTCTTCCTCAGGCTGGTCTTGAACTCCTGGCTTAAGCAGTCCTCCTGCCCCAGCCTCCCAAAGTGCTAGGATTACAAGCATGAGCCACCACACCCGGCCTGGAGTTTATTTTTGTATATATTTTAGAGTATAAGGATTAAGATTTTTTTTCCATATGGATGTCCAGTTGACCCTGTATTATTGAAAAGAATGCCCCTTCCATTCTACACTACAGGGCTGCCATTGTCTTAGATTAGATGGCAGTAAGTATGTGTTTCTGTTTCTGGACTTGGTTCTATTCCGTTAGTCAGTTTTCCTTTTTTTGTACCATTGTCCCATAATCTAATTACTATAGTTTCATAATAGGTCCTGATATCTGGTAGTGTCTTTCAAGCTTGTTGTTTTTCAAGTGCTATGGTTTGGATATTTGTGCCTGCCAAACCTCACTGTTGAAATTTGATCCCCAGTGTTGGAGGTGGGGCCTTAATGGAAGGTGTTTGGATCATGGGGGTGGATGGATCCCTCATGAATAGATTAATTACCTCCCAGAGTGGGGGGGCGATGTATAAGTTCTGCATTAGTTCTTGTGAGAGCTGGTGGTTAGAAAAGCGCCTGGCATCTCCCCTCTCTTTCTTCCTCTCCTACCACGTGATGTCTGCACATGCCAGCTGCCTTTCACCTTTAGCTATGAGTGGAAGTAGGCTGAAGCTCTCACCAGATGCCCAGTCTTGAACTTTTCCAGGCATCAGAACCGCAGGCCAAATAAACCTTTTTTCTTTATAAATTACCCAGCCTCAGCTGTTCCTTTATAGCAACGTAAAACAGACTATGACATCAAGATTACCTGAGTTATTCCTTTGCATTTCTGTGTGATTTTTTAGAATTATCAGTAGCTTATCAATTTCCAGAAAAAAAAAAAAACTGTCTTAATTTGGGCTGCCATAATGAAATACCATAAACTGGGTAGTTTCCTCACAGTTCTGGAACCTGGGAAGTCCAAGATCAAGGCACCAGGAGAGTTGGTGTCTGGTGAGGGCCTGTTTCCTCGTTCATAGATGATGCCTTTGCTCTGGGTCCTCACATGGTAGAAGGGGCAAGGCAGCTCTCTGGGGGCTTCTTTTATAAGAGCACTAATACCATTCATGAGGTCTCCTAAAAGGCTTCACCTCCTAATACCATCACCTTAGAGGTTAGGATTTTAAAATATGGATTTAGGTGGGTCACAAACAGACCACAGCCAAAATCTAATGGGATTTGTATTGGGGCTGCATTGAATCTGTAGATTAATTTGGGGAATATTAACATCTTTACAATATTCTGTCTTCCAATTCATGAATCTCCCTGCTTATTTAGGTCTTTAATTTTTCCTAGCCATATTGTGTAGTTTTTACTGTAGAGTCATTATACGTATTTCTGTACTTGAGTATTTTATATTTTGCATATCATTTTTTATTGAGGTAATATTTCATATAACATAAAATTCATCATTTTAAAGTGTATACTGGCATGGTTTATAATATATTTACTATGTTGTGCAACCATCACCATTACCTAATTCTAGAACATTTTCCTTTCCCCAAAAAGGAAACCCCTTACTTACTAGCATTTGGTCCCAGTTGCTCCTCTCCACATATCCTGTGGCAACCACTAATCTTCTTTCTGTAGCTGTGGATTTGCTGATTCTGGACATTTCATATAAATTAAATCATATAGTATGTGGTCTTTTGTGTCTGGCTTCTTTCACTTAGCATAATGTTTTCAAGATCCATCCATGTTGAAGCACATGATAATACTTCATTCCTTTTTATGGCTGAATAACATTCTATTGTATGGATAATACCACATTTTGTTTATTCTTCAGCTGATGAACTTTTGAATTGTTTCCATGTTGGGCTGTCATGACTAATGCTGCTGTAAATGTATGTGTTCAAGTTTTTGTGTGAACATGTGTTGTCATTTTTCTTAAGTATATACCTAGAATTGGTATTGCTGTGTCAGATGGTAACTCTTGTGTTTAAGTTTTTGAGCAACTGCCAAATTGTTTTCCACAGCAGCTGCACCATTTTACATTCCTACTCTCAATGTATGAGTGTTCCAATTTCTGTACATCCACCAATACTTATTAATGTCTTTCTTATTATAGCTATCCTAGTAAATGTGAAGTGGTATCTCATTGTGGTTTTGAGTTGCATTTTCTGATAACTATAATGTTGAGCAGATTTTCACATGCTTATTGGCCATTTGTATATCTTTGGTGAAATGTCTATTCAGATCCTTTGCCCATTTGCACAGTTGGGTTGTCTTTTTATTATTTGAAGAGTTATTTATATATTCTCAGTATGA